CCCCCCTGAGCCCGATCCCCCCCCCCCCTGACCTCTGCAGCACACTACCGCAACGCTTCCGACACGACTCCCTGCGGCGCCCCAGGCGACCTGGGCGTTGAGGCGTCGGCGGCGGAAAAGGAGGAGGAATAGGAGAAGGAGGAGGAGGAGAAGGAGGAGGAGCAGGACTAGGAGTAGGAGGAGAAGGAGGAGGAGGAGGAGGTGAAGGAAGAGGAGGAGGAGGAGGAGGAGGAGGAGGAGGAGGAGGAGTTTTTGCAATGCACGGCAGCCATGCGCACACCCAATTCGCGAGAGCAAAAAGGCCGGGCGACAGGCTGGCAGACAAAACTCGCGGGCTAAACACCCGCCGAGGGCCACTCGCGGACCCCAGGCCTGGGAGGGAGGCCCTTGCGCAGCCGCAGCAGGGCAGTAAGCTGCGCCTTGGTCAGCGCGAAAGGTCCGTGCCTCGCCGCCTCGCACTCCTCCAGAAGACGCGAGGGCCTGGAGTCAGCGTAGCGCCCGCAGAGGCTGCAAAATGTGATGGCACCCTTGCGCCACAAAAAGTGAGAGGCATGCGGCACATGTCCAGCAATGCCCGTGCCAGGAGGCAGGCGAGAGGGGGGATCAGCTCCTCGACGGCCCTCGCCGAGAAGGTGCACGCGCCCGAGCGACTCCGAGCTCCGAGATGGCCCCTGCCGTCTGAGAGGGCCCTCCGCCTGCGCAGAAGGCACTCCCTCCTCGCGCCACCCTCTCCTCGCCATCGCTCGGGCGTCCATTCCCCGAGCATGTTTCGATGTCGTGCGTGTTTTTTGTTCGCGAAATGATAAAAGATGCTCCTCGAAGGTCCTCGCCCAAAGAAATGCACGCGTCCGAGCGATGCCGAGTCTCTGGTTTGTTATGACTCTGTATGATCACGCTCGTTACCTGGAGGGGGCGGGGGCGGGTAGCAGTTGCGCGTGGGCGGGGTGGGGCGCGCCAGGGTGGGGCGGGGGTGCGCTGCGATCGCCGTAGTTTGAGAGCGAAAACCAGCGTGTGTACGGGGGGGGTCCAGCCCCCTCCCCCTTCTCCGCGCGATCTTTTCTGTTGTCTGGGGGGGGGGGCCGGTAACGACCGTTACGCGCCACGCCAGAAAGATACATATATACAAATCGATGTGCCCTGTAACGCCAGTCGCGGGGGTAGAAACCAATTTGATCACAATCACTCTCTGGGACGTCGTCGTGACGCTTGTTGCTAGCCATACCGCGGTGTCACCATCATCATGTTTGTTTATTCCCCTGCGCATGGTGTCTCTTATTGCCGTGCTCTTTCTGAGTGTGTATCTCCGTCCTGGCCCTCGGCGTCCTTGAGATGTTTATCCCGGCTCTGTGTGATGCTCCCATCAAGCTTTTTCCTGTCCTCAGGCCTTCTCCTCCTCCTCCTCGTTCCCGTCATTTTCCTTCTCCCTCTGCTCCTCCTCCTCCCATCGTCCTCCTCCTCCTCCTCCTCCTCCTCCTCCTCCTCCTCCTCCTCCTCCTCCTCCTCCTCCTCCTCCTCCTCCTCCTCTCCCTCCTCCTCCTCCTCCTCCCTCCTCCTCCTCCCTCCTCCTCCTCTCCCCTCCTCCTCCTCTCCTTCTCCTCCTCCTCCTCCTCCTCCCCCTCTCCTTCTCCTCGTCTCCTCCTCCTCCTCCTCCTCCTCCTCCTCCTCCTCTTTCTCCTGTTGCTCCTCCTCCTCGTCCTCATCGTCGTCACAATCATCATCAATCTTCTGCGCATCCTCCGCCGACTTCCCGTCTCTTCTTCCCTCCCTCCCTTCCTGCTCTTCCTCCTCCCCGTGGGGCCTTGAGGGACCTCGCGGGGCATCCTGGGACCTCCTGGAACGTCCTGGAGCCTCCTTGGGATTCCCACGGCCTCTGGGGGCGTCCGGGGGCGTCCTGAAGTCTTCTGGAGCTTCCTGATGCTCCTGAATCCTCCTGGGGCCTCCTGGGAACTTTCTGAAGCCTCCTGGGGCCTCCTGAAGCATGAAAATTTGCGTCAGGATGCATCAGGAGGCCTCCTGAGGCCTCGTGGGGCCTCCTGAGGCTTCCTGGGGCCTCCTGAACCCTCCTGGGGCCTCAAAATTGGCGACAGTCTCAAAGATGGGAGCTTGCCGTTGCGCAATGGACATTGAACAAATGACGACAATGTCACACTTGAGGCCCGCAAACCGTCCCGGGCACACCCTGGCGCGAATCCCGGCCCTGCATAGTACGGTGCGATTTGCCCCCTCCCCACTGTCCCGCCGGTCGCTGTAAGGGCTAGTTTTCTGGTTTTCGCTGGTAAGAAATACTCCCCCCCCCCTCTCGGCGGTGACGGAGGGCAGGCGGCGGGGGAGGGCGGGTTGGCAGGGTGGCTGGTTGGGCACGGAGAGCAGGCGGAGGGGATCGGCGGGTTGGCGGGGTGGGCGGCTGGGCTGGTTGGCTGACGGGTTGGCTGGGTGGCTGGGTGGGCTGGCTGGCTGGTTGGACGGGTTGGCAGGTTGAGCTGGCTAAGGCAATTTGTTTCGATACATGCAAGCGAAAACATAGACTTGGGGGGGCGTCGCCTACGACCGGATACTCCAAGAAGGACTGAGATGCATCGAACCGCGAAGCCGGATCGGAAGCACATCGCTCGGCAACGAATGGCCCCGACTCGAATCATAATCGGATCGCCGAGCCCAGCTCCCGCTGACCCTGGCCAATACCTGTGAGCCGAGCAGAATCGGATCGAATAGGAACCGCGGCCCCAGTCAGAGAATCCGCCGACCCCTCGTGGGCCTCTAAACGTGTGAGATTCATCCCATAACCCCCCCCCCCGGACCCCAAACCAGCAATTCGACCCCACCCCCTCGTCCTCCCCGGACGACGCCCCCCCTCGCCCCAGATGAACGCGCCCCCCCCCCCCCTCCTCTCGCCCTGGAAGGACGCGCCCTGGAGGGGTGGAGGACCCCAGAACAAGCCAACAGGGCCCGCAGAAGCTCCCAAGAAACTTCATGAGGGCCTCGATTTGTTTTTGTTGTCTTGATCTGGGCGGTCCTAACCAAGTCGTGTCGGGCGGGCGGTCCTAACCAAGCCATGAGGGCTCCGAATTGCCGAAAGATCTTTCCGAGACGCTCAAGATGGCCCCCACATGGCCCCAAACGCCCCCATGACGCCCCAAGGGGCGTCCAAGAAGCCTCCACGAGGGCATTCCAAGGGGGCTCCACGAGGCAATATTCGTTAATGTGTCATGGGTTGTTGTAAAGTCTATTAGGTGTTTCGCCTTTTCGGTTTCCCGACGCTCCAAGACGGCCCCCGAAACCCTCGAGATCGCTCCAAGACGGCCCAAAAAGCATCCAAGAAGGCCCCAACACGGCGCAAGAGGGCCCCAAGAAGTCCCACGAGGTCTCCAAGACGACCCAAGAGGCTCCCAAAGACGCCTCCAAGCAGGAGACACAGTTCGAGCCTCCATGTTCGAGAGCCCCCCAGGAGGCCCCGTAAGGCCCCCAAGAAGTCTGACGAGGCCCCGAAGATGCTCTAAAGAGGTCCCTCCACACGGCCCCAGCTGCCCCCAAGACGCCCCGAGGGGCTCCCCAGAAGCCTCCACGAGGTAGTTCAAGAGAGCTCCACTAGGCAAGATGTGTTGATTGTGCATTGGTTTTTGCAAGTTGATTCGCCTTCTCGCCTTTTCGGTTTTCCGACGCTCCAAGACGGCACCCTCAAGATCGTTCCAAGACGGCCCAAAACAGCCTCCAAGAGGGCCCCCAAACGGCGCAAGAGGGCCCCAAGAAGTTCCAAGAAGTCTCCAAGACGGCCCAAGAGGCATCCAAGACGCCTCTAAGAGGGAGCCCAGACGGCGGATCCAAACGCACAGTTCGAACCTTCACTTTCCAGAGCCCCCCAGGAGGCCCCAAGAGGCCCCCAGGAAGCCTGAAGTGGCCCCCAGGATTCCAACGAGTCGGCGGTGGACAAACCTCCCTTCAGTAAACCTCCCTTTAGTGAAAACGGCCTGGGACCGAAACAGACGGACCTGGACCCGCAAAAATGACGGCCGCGACGCCCTCTCACGAACCGAAAACGGCCAATTCCTAAATCGATGTGTCAAGGTGGGAGGTCTGTCCGCCCCGCGACCGCTCCGCAGAGACCCCAAGAAGCATCCCTAAAGGACTCTGACCCGCATCACAAACGCGGCGGCGGTGAAAGCCGTAGGCCATCAGATCCTCGACGGTCCGCGAGCCCGAACAGGCCCCCCAGACGCTGACATCGATGAGCAACCCCCCCATATCGAACACCGACGACAAATCCTCTGTTCCAATTGCCCCTGGGCCCCCAGCCGCGGCAGGTGCACTCCTCCTCCTCCTCCTCCTCCTCCTCCTCCTCCTCCTCCTCCGCCTTCCTCCGCCCTCCTCCGCCCTCCTCCGCCTCCTCCTCCTCCTCCTCCGCCCTCCTCCGCCCTCCTCCGCCTCCTCCTCCTCCTCCTCCTCCGCCTCCTCCTGCTCGACCTTCGCTCCTCCGAAATTTTCGATCCGTCCATGTCGGACCCCTGGGGGCCATCCGACACCGATCCGGAGCGAGAAACGCGTTCCGGGGGTGCCAAGGTCGCCCGCAAACGGCCGCCGGAGGCTCGAAGAATGGCCGTCGGATGGCCCGAAAACCCGACCCGGACTCCTCCTCCTCCTCCTCCTCCTCCTCCTCATTCCCTCATTCCCTCATCCTCTCATTCCTCCCCCTCCCCTTCCTCCTCCTCCTCCTCCTCCTCCTCCTCCTCCTCCTTCGTCCCTTCAGGCTTACGCCACATCCGCCGACCCATTGATTGTAGTTCGTTTCCCAGGGTCTTTTCGGTACTTCCGTGGAGTGCGTTTTTCGGGTGCGTCTTAGTTTATCTTCGGCTGGGTCAGCGGCAGGTTTTCGCAGGGTTCTTCGTGTTCTTTGGAAATATTGCTGGAGCCGCCGCGGGTTGTTTTGTTTGTATTGTCAAAGTTGGGGCTCGCCGAACGCCGAAAAGAACGTGAAGAACGCCGAAAAGAACGGCAATCTGAAGTGCAAGTCGTGCAAATGAAACCCGTTGGGGTGACCCGTTGGGACATCGAATCTGCGATGAGGCTCAGGACGCAGGCGGCCCTGCCGTGGCGCCTTCGAGGACCCCCTCCCCGGTCCCGCCGCGGCCGTGCAGTGGCAGAAGCGCTGACCGCGCCGCGCCAGCGGGCCCGCCGCGGCCTGCAGTGGTCAAGGGGCCCAAGGATACACAGAGAACTGCACACAAATCCGAGGATTCCCCATTTCCCCATATTTTCAAGATGCTCGTCATCACCCCCACTTCCCTTATTTTCCCATGTTTTCCTGGGAGCCGACGATGAATCCTGTCTGTGTGTGTTTTTTTCCCTCCTGAAGTGGGGGGCCCCGGCGCGCGGTCGCGCGCCGGCGGCTGCAAGTTTTGACAGCTGAGAGGGGAGGGCACAATCTTTCCACCACCACCACCATAAGCTGGAGGGAGGAAGGAGTGAAGGAGGACGAGGAGGAGGACGAGGAGGAGGTGGTGGAAAACAGGCCCATGGAAAAGGGTGGGGTTTGGGCAAAAAGGCGGGATGTGGAGGGAAAATCGCTCCCAGCGGCCCCTGAAGCAGGAGACGCGTTGCACGGGAGCATCCAGCCGGGCCCGTTCCCCCCAGCCCGACCTTGGGATATGACCCTGCCTCTACGAAACTCCGACAGAGGGGGGGGATAGCAGACCCGGACGCCTCGCGTCACGAAAAAAAACACCGCGAAAGCGCATTCGCTCTACGACTGTGAAAGCAAGACGAGCCACACACACGTACACATGCACACATACACACACGCGCACACGCGCACACACACGCGTGTGTTGCTTCCTGGCTGGATAGTCCAAGGCAGCGATCGATTGACGAGGCCGCTAATGAGAACTACCACCAAACATTGTCGATGACTGGGCGCCATGCGCCTAGTGCGAAGAAGGCGGCATGCACGACCATGCAGCGCAAACCAGAAGAGACGCAAGACGAGAAAGCCACACACAAACATACACGCACAATCACACACTCACGTACACACGAATACGCACACGCACACGCACACGCGCACGCACGCACACACACGCACACACACGCATACAATACATCTACATATATATATATATATACATATATACATATATGCATACCTATCTACGATATATATATATATATATATATATGTATACGCACACACAGACGTCGCGGTCACACGCGCGCGGTGGCGCGGAATGGGTCAAAACAGGCGGCAGCGCGCGGGCCGGCCCAGCTCACGCAGCGTGAAGAAGCTGGACTAGCTTGCAAGGCGAATGTGTATATATATATATATATATGTACATACATATACGTGCGCGAAGATGTATGCACATATATTTACATAAGTATACATATACATATACATACATATACAATTATACGATACATATACATACGGATACATACCTATACATACACATATGTCTATATTTATCTATGTATGTGCGCTAACGTAAACATACACACATATTGATATAACAATCTGTCTCTCGGGGCCCTCGCCCGGCCACAGGACCGTCAGGACCGTCAACCGGCCTTTCCTGGGGAGTACGTCGCGACAAGGGCCCGTGAAGAGGTCCCGATCATGGGGGCCTTGCCGGGGGGTCAGCGAATCGGCTCGCGCCGGTGACTTTCCCAGAGCCGCCAGGCGCCGGAGGTACATGCATATCGCGGAGAGCCCCTGGCAACAAAGCCAGGACCGGCTGCATGTGCAGTGGCTCTCGTTGCCTCCCAGACATCCTCCGATACATAAATAAATACATCAATATATATATATATATATAAAGACACATATATATATGTGTACATACGTATATCTATATATTGCTCTATCCGCAGCTGCAAAGCTCCCGACCCGTTCCTTCGGGGTAGTCCCACCAGCCTCTTAAGGCGTAGTTGGTTTGAGGAGTTTCCTCATCTGACACCCTTCTTCCCTCCGGGGGATGCATCACTGTTCCTAATTCATATGTGCCCCTCCGCCACCTGACCAGCAACGAACTCGGACCCATGACCCCCCCCCCCAACCACCTGTCAAAAAGCAATACAGTGGAGGTCAGTCCACAAGAAACCTCTCACAAGAAACCCAACCCTGAGACCCCAGGACGTTCATTGATCTTTGGTGCGGGAACGTCGCGCTTTCCATAGCAAAGACATCGAAACCCAAAAAACCCAGTGCACCATGGAGGCAAACAGGGTGTTTCTTGGCAAGGGCCCCCACTGTGTGGCGTGCACGTTGCGGGAACATGGGCTCATGGGCCGGCACCGCGCGATCACTTTGTGCAGTCTTTTTGTTAACATGGGCGAGGGCGGGCACTTGGGCTGGCATGATGCCTGCTGCCCGCAGGCACAGCACACCTGGGAAGAACGATACGATCTACAGTTTGCGGCAAGATCCTGATCATGGGCGGGCGCCCCGCGATCACTGTTCATGGTGATTTGAAAGGATGATGGGGGGTGCCCTGGCACTCGCGGCGCACCTCGCGGGCGTCGCGCACCTGGCTGCCATCTCCATTGGTTCCCGATGGTTGTCGATGGCGGCCCCTGCCCCTGCTGAGCCTCGGGCGCCACTGAAGTGGTGGGAGGGCGGGTGGGAGTGAGCGAGACGGCCGTCCATCGGGAGCTGCCCCCTCCTCCTTCGTTTGGACTGGGGGGTGCGGCGACTGGTCAGAGGGCCCAAGGTAGCCCAAGATTGCTCCAAGATGGCTCCAAATATCCTAAGATGGCCTCTAAACGGCTCAAGATAGCGCGAGGTCGCTCAAGATGGCTTTCAGCATACTTTAAAAGGTCCCGATACAGCTCCAAGACAAGCCCAAAGGGCTTCGGAGTTTCCCCAGGACGCCCGCATACATCCTCACAGCATTCAAAGGGAATCAATGTTTTTTGATCTTCTCATATTTTCACTTCTGATGGCATCCAAAGCCTCAAGATGGCTCCAAGATGGCCCAAGAGGGCCCCAAGAGGGGCCCAAGAGGGGCCCGAGAAGGCCCCAAGAGCGCCCAAGGTCGTCTCTTGGTTCCAGAGGGGGGAGGGGCTAATTAGGGATCTCCCCTTCTTTGATTGATGATCGATGTCCTCCAACAAGAAGGCCCCTGAGAGGGTCCCCCCAAGAGCTCCCAAGAGGCCCCCAAGACGCCCTAAGAGGCCACCAAGAGCCCCCCTTAGGAGACATCCCAAAGCCGGAATCGAGAGAAAGACGCAGGATTGAAACAATCATGTCTCCTGCGCTCTGGGACCCCACCCTCCTAACACCCCCCTTTGTGGCAACTCACGGGAAAGTCCCATACCATATTGTTGGCTCTTGCGACTCGACGCTGATCGACGCTAAATCGAATATGATCGACGCTACTCGAACTAAGGCGGCGCACTCGAAAGACGGAATTGCGAGTGGTCTCAAGGCTGCCATGATTTGCTACCGCCCCCCCCCCCTGTCGTCGGGGGCGTCCAAGAGTGGGGCGTCCACGAGGGGGGAGGCGCAAATAATGACCGGCAACATGTGCGCGGCCCAAGGGGGACGAAATGAAGTAAGAGGCGCCGTAAAATCTGGGGAGATATCGTGACCCCCGCCATGATATCCCCCCCCCCCTAGTCATCACTTTGGAGTGCCGAAACGGTGCGGTGACGGACCGTGCGGTGACCTCGAAATCCTGCAAGACCTCACCGCACGGTCCGTCACCGCACGGTCTTGGGACCCTGGAGGTCCCTGTCGCCCGAGACGTCCTCGGAGAACGACCGGAGTCCCAAAACCGTGCGGTGACCCCGAATCCCCACCGACTCATCGCACAGTGTGGTCACCGCCCCGTTTGGGGACCCCCGGGTCACCCCCCTCTTGGCCGCCCCCGATTTCGTCCGGCGCGAGGCCTACGTGGGGTCCTCTGCGCGGATGTACGCCAGAGGCTGCAGGGCCGGAGGCGGCGGCACCTGAGGCGGCACCGAGCACGGGGCAGCGAGAGTGAAGTCGGGCGTGTCTCTCTACAGGGGGAGCATTCAAAAATAGGTAGAAAAATTACAGGGACGATTTGTTTCACTATTTTTGAGCATTCTTCGTGCATTTCGGAGTATTCTTCATTTTTTGTCCAATATCCGCCTGTAGGGGGACACGCTTGACTTAGAGCGAGACAAAAATCCGCTGGGGGTGACGGCCAGTCTGGCCGTCCCACCGGCATGAAGGGGGGATGCGGAGTCCACGAAAACGGGACGGGGTGGGCAAGAGTGGGCATCATACCTGGATCAAGATGAAACGAGGCATCATCATCATCATCATCATCATCATCATCATCATCATCATCATCATCATCATCATCAGCATCATCGTCAGCATCAGCATCAGCATCAGCATCATCACCATCACCATCTCCATCACTATCGTCATCGTCATCGTCATCATCATCAGCATCATCAGCATCATCATCAACACCATCACCACCACCATCACCATCACCATCATCATCAGCATCGTCATCACCATCATCATCATCATCACCATCACCACCACCATCACCATCACCATCGTCATCGTCATCGTCATCATCATCGTCATCGTCATCATCATCACCATCACCATCACAATCACCATCGTCATCGTCATCGTCATCTTCATCATCATCATGATCATAGCCTCATCCTTAACGTCTCGCACTGGCATGCATGTCGTGCGCAGCAGCACGCGCTCCCCTCGCGTCGTGCACACAGCCACGACCGACGGCGTTTCTGCCACTCTCAGCCCACGGCGGCCCTCGCGGGGTCCCGTGGACCGTCAGAAGACGCTTCAAGACGGACAGCCTGTCCCAGGGCATAGGTCCAGACCTCCAGGGGTCCCAGCTGTGAAGAGATCGCGGCGAGATCCGGCGGCTCTGGAGGATGCATATCGTAGAGGGCAGAAGCACGCCGGCAAGCGAGGCCTTGTCGTCAACGGCACCGAGGGAAGGGATGGAACAGGGCAGGGCGGTTTCGTAAACGCCCAGGTTTGTTCAGTAAACGCCACTTGTGGGGGTCGAGGTGTTTTTTTTTCGGGGGCGCGCAACACATGGATTAGCGATCCATGGATTTGGCGCGCGGTCGCCAAATCCATGGACAAAGGGAGGTCCGGTGCCGCCTCGTTCGGCGGCGGTAATCCGCGATTGCCCATGGAAACGGGACCCGTGGCTAATCCACGCCCCCTTGATCCATGTATTTTGGGTGACCCAAAAGGGGGTCTAGCTGAAAGGGGGTGGTGCAATAGATTTGGGGCGTTCGTATTGCAAATGTATTGCGCCGGGGAATTGCATTGCATTGCAAGCAATGCATTGCACGCGAACATCGAACATCCGGCAACACACTTGCGCCCCGGAATGTATCGCACGCCCCGAAGGTGTTGCAAACCCACAGATCTATGGCGCCAAATCTATTGCACCACCTCCTTGTCGCTGGGCCCCCTCTGGAGTCAGCCCGAGTTTCCTCCCCTCGAGATCGGGAGCCGTCGGCGGTGGACAAACCTCCCTTTCGTAGACCTCCCCTCAGTGAGAACGGCCCGGGACCGAAACCGACGGACCCGGACCCGCAACAAAATGACGGCCGCGGCGCCCTCTCGCGGACCGAAAACGGCCCTCCATCGGCGTGTCGGGGCGGGAGGTCGAACCACCTCCTACCATAAAAAGGTCTTGATAACGACAACCATATTCTCAGAATATGCTCAGAATAAAAGGGTTTGATAACGAAAACAATCCATCGGCGCGTCGGGGTGGGAGGTTTGTTTTGGACGCCCGAAATGGGTACGGAAAGAATGGGTACAATGCCCAACAGCAAATGTTGTCCCAAACCAACAGCGGCCGCTGTTGGGCGGGCGGCCTCCTGTCTCGAATGGACACAGGCCGCGGCGGCGCGGACAGCGAGCCCTGTTCAGAATGAACATGAGCTGTTGTTGGGCATCGTACCCATTCTTTCCGTGCCCATTTCGGGCGTCCAGATCTCTGTCCGCCCCCCCGAAGCCGCGGTCCTTCCCAGACCGCGCCATGGGGCACGCGCAGAGCGCTCCTGGAGAGGCCGGCGCTCCGCCCACGCCTCCCGGAAGCCTGCCCGGCCCGGAGGACTCCGACGCGGCGGCGAGCTTCAGCCATAGGGGGCCACAGGTGGGCCCTACCCCCTGCCCCCCCCACGATCTCTGAGGAGAAGGAGGAGGAGGAGGAGGAGGAGGAGGAGGAGGAGGAGGAGGAGGAGGAGGAGGGGGAGGGGGAGGAGGAGGAGGAGGGAGGAGGAGGAGGGGAGGAGGAGGAGGAGGAGAGAGGAGGAGGAGGAGGAGGGGGAGGAGGAGGAAGACGAGGAGGAGGATGGGGTTCACTTCGCTCGGGAGACCCCGAACGAAGTGAACCCCCACCCTCCCCCTCAGAAATCGTGGGGGGGTAGGGGGTAGGGTTCACATGGGGCCCCCCATTCGGCGTCGCGAGACATGTGATCGAGCGCCACGGACCCCTGCAGCAGGGGCCCGACCACAAGGAGCCTTCCACAAGAAGCCCAAGCCTGAGACCCCAAGGCGTCCATTGACGATGGCGTGGGAACGCCACGCTCTCCGTAAAAGGCATCGAGGCCCAAGACACCCAGGGCACCCTGGAGGCAAGCAAGGCTCCTTGGCATGGGCCCCCACTGTAGAGACACACGCCACAGACCTCGTCTTTCCCTGTGGGACCCTTCTCGAGCCAGGTCGATCCATGGGGCCCGACACAAGGCAGAATGACCCGCTGCGACAACAGTGCGACGCCAGGAGCTCAAGGTCCGCCCCAGCCCTTGGCCCGCCCGCGGCACCAGGTGCTCCGGGCGCGGCCCGTGCTGGGCCGCCTGGACGAGGTCGTCGACGAGCCGCTCGTCGAGGTGGAGGGCGTCGTGCTGCGAGGACTGCCAGTCCACGGCTGGCAGCGCGAGCTCCACCCGTCTGTCTCGGCGGCCCCTGGCGTGCGCCCCTCGCTGCGGGACCACAAACTAGGCACGGGCGGGAGCTCTTCCAGTACGAGCGGGTCTCTTTCCGGCGCACGCTGGGATGCACGGGCCCTGACATCCTGTCGCTGAAGTGATTTCCCCGGCAATTCACCCTGATGGCAACAGAGGGAGGGTGGGCCCGTGGGGCCTGTGGGACCTGTGAGAGCTGTGGGACCTCTGGGACCTGTAAGACACGTAGGGCCAGTGGGACATGTGGGGCCTCAGGGACCTGTGGGACCTGTGGGGCAAGTGGGAATTGTGGGACTCGTGCGACCTGTGGGACCCATGTGACCTGTGCGACGTGTGCGACCTCTTGGACCTGTGGGACAGGTGGGAACTGTTGGACTTGTAAAACTTGTGGGGCCTGCTTGACCTGTGCGGCCCGTGGGACCTGTGGGACCTGCTTGATCTGGGGCACCTGTGGAGCCTGTGGGGCCTGCGGGACCTTTGGGAGCTGTGGGACCTGTTGGGCCTGTTTTACCTGTGGGACGTGTGGAAACTACGGGACCTCAGCGGCATGACCTCCGGGACCTGTGATGCCCGTGAGACGCGTGTGACCTGTGGGACCTGTGGGGCCTGTGGGGCCTGTGGGCCCTGTTGGGACCTGGGGAACCTGTGGCACCTGTTGGACCTGTGGGACCCTTGGAACCTGTAGGACCTGTGGGGTCTGTGATACCTGTGGCACCTGTGAGGATCTGCGCGGCCTGTGCGACCTGCGGAACTCTGGGACCCGTGGGGTGTGTGGCACCTTTGGAGCTTGCAGGGTATGTGGGACCTGTAGCAAGTATGCGACATGTGCGGCCTGTACGACCTGCGGACCTGTGGCGTCCGTGCGACACCTGGGATCTGTGCGACCTGTGGGGCCTGTGGGCCATGTTCTGCGGAACCTATGGCACTGCAGTGGGGCAAGGGGGACCTGTGGGACCTTTGCGGCCTGTGCGACCTGCGGGACCGTGTCCGTCCAGACAGAACATGTAGCCGACATTGATGAGGGGGCCTAGGGACACACCAATAAACACACACACACACAAATACCAATATTCCCCATATTTCACTGTATTTTCTGGATGTTCGTCTTCCCCCCCCCCCACTTCCTACATGTTCCCACGATTTATTGTGTCTGCGTGTTTTTCCCCCTCCTTAATTGAAGCGAGAACACGATATCTGAACAACGTGCGAAGAAGTCTCGAGCGAAACGGCTGCCGGACTGGGCAGTCTCAGGCTCCACGTCCCCCTGTGGCCGCCGGCGCTGAGGCGAGATGGCGATTCCTGAGCGAGTTGCACGGTTTTCAAGGAAATCTCGCGCGAAACGGACTCTCGAGCCAAATTCGGGGATCTTCTGACCCGGGTCAATCCAGACACGGATCAGTAGGAAACCAAAAAACTTGCAATGCAGAAACAAGACTGCAACGCAGGTCTTCGCAAACCCGGGTCAGCCAATGTGCGCGGCCGCCTCGCGGCCACGAGCGGCTCGCTACGCCGGGTCAGCCAGAGGGGGTCTTCGCAGGATCCGGTGCCCTCGCTGATCCCGGTTTGCATTGACCCTCGTCTCGAGGCTCCCGACAAACGCGATTAGGGAGTAGCCTGTCTTTGGGCGAAAACACGATTCCTGCCTTAGGCGAAACGACCACCGGACAGGCCATCTCGGACAGGGCCGCTGTGGTAGCCAGTACTGAAGTGAGAGCACGACTCAAGAACCTGCCGACCCTTCGGCGTGTGTGAAACGCTGTCGTCTTCGTTGTCGTCCGCCCCAAGGAAACTCAACGACGGACAGATAAAAGAAACGTTGTAGTTCTCAGAGCGTGAATTACCTCCCCCGCTTTCGCTTCCAGGCAAAACCAAGCCATACCACGCGCCTCCTCGTCAAGCGGCCTGACCAGTACAGGCCGCAATTTGGCATCGTTTGGTATCTCTTGGAAGCGAGGGTGGTCAAAAGCGATGTAGGTTTGTTTTCCCCCGAAGTTCAGTCGATTCCATCCCCTCGTCCCCTCCCTCCCTGACGGGTGGGGGAAAGGCTCGGGACAAGGGGCGGGTCCGGCGGCCCCTCCCCTCCCCTCCTCCCCTCCCCGGCTCCCCCTGCGGACCAGGGGGGACGCAGGGGGGGTCCACCCAATGCGGGGGGGCCCCCCCGGGGGAGGTCCCGTCTGTGGTGGGGGAGGGTGGTCCTGGGTCAGAACGGCGCCCCCCCGAGGTCCGGGCGGGTCACGGGCGCCAGCGGGGGTCCCCAGGGAGGTTCCGCCTGCAGGGGCGGCTGCACCGGCCGCGAGGCCTTCGCAAGGAATTGTGAGGACACGTCGAACGGAACGGCTGCCGGGCCGAGGGGTCTGCGGTTCCCCGTCCTCGCTGTGCGAGTCTTCTATGCTCATTTTGGAACATCTGAAGGCACTCGGGCGATCTGCTGCGAGGGAACGTATGCATCTGGGACAGGGGTGAGAGCACCGCCACGCGCACCTTCAGCGCAATTCTTACAGAAACGATCGTGGCCGTCCAGACCCAAGCTGTAGCCGGCATTCAAGCGCGAACTCGGCACTTGAACCGAATAGCCGCCAGGCAAAGCGTGACGGGGGCCCCCGCCAGGCTCCGGGACCATCCAATCATAGCCTGGCGAGGGACACAGCCGTATGCAGTTGTGACCGTGCCGTGATTATAAACATCGCCTTCGGTGGAGCCGTCGGGGGCCGCGAAACATGTAAGTGGTGGGCGTAAATTGTGAGGAGAAGGCATGCGGGCCGGGCAAAGGAGCCTTGGGTGGAGCTCCCTATGGGGCCACGGAACGTGCGAAGAGGGCGCCAAAATAGTGTGGAGAAGGCGTGTGGGCCGCTGGAGCCTGAAGTGGAGCTCCCTCTGGGGCCACGAACTGTGTGAATGGTGCGCCGACATGTTGTGGAGAAGGTATGCGGGCCCTGTCATTGGTGCCTTAGGTGGAGCTCACTCAGGAGCCACGAAACGTGCGAGGGGTGCGCAGAAATAGTGCGGAGAACGCATGCGGTCCGTGGTACTGGGGTCTCATGTTGAGCTCCCTCCAGGGGGCTACGAAACTCACGATGGGTGCGCCGACGTGGTTGGAAAAAGGCACGCGGGCCCCGGCAATGAGGCCCAAACTGAGGACCACTCTGAGGTCACGAAGCGCTTCAAAGCTGTTCCGACATGGTGGAGAAAACATGCGCGTCCTGTCACTGAGGCTTTAGGTGGAATTCCGTATGGTGCCACAACCCGTGCGAGGGGTGCGCCGACATGTGGAAAGCGAGCGGGCCTTTGCACTGGGGCCTCAAGTCGAACTCCCTTTGGGGCCGCGGAACGTTTAACGGATGCCCCGACACGGTGTGGAGAAAACGTGCGTGCCCTGCCACTGGAACCTTCGGTTGAACTTCCACTGGGGCCACGAAGCGTCAGATGGGTGCGCCGATATGGTGTGAAGAAGGCCATGGGGCACTGGGACTGAAGCCTTAGGTCACACTCCTTCTGGGACCACGAAGCGTGTGGAAAGTTCGCCGACATGGCGGGGAGAGGGCATGCGAATCCTGGCTCTGGGTCCTCGGAAAAGGCTTCTTCTGGGGCCTCGAGGCGTGTGAAAGGTTCGCCGACATGGTGGGGATAGGGCATGCACACCCTGGTTGTGGGGCCTCGGGAAAAAAGGGCTCTATTTTGGGCGGCCACAAGCTGTGTGAACTGTGTCCCGAACAAGTGTTGAGAAAACGGGCAAACTCTGGGACTGGGTCCCCAATTGAAGCTCCCGATGGGGCCACGAAAAGCGTGAGGGGTGTGCCGAGATGGCGAAGGTGGTAACAAATGATGATGACGACGTTTTCCTGGCGGTGTACGCTTTCCTGTGATGCCCAACGGGTTAAACGTATGCCCATGGAACATCCGAAACTTGAAATGCCAACATGCAAACAACCCTCGAGGTCCAAGAAGGCTAGGGCCAACATCCCCGCACACGCGACTGCGCATCGAATGCAATTTCGCGCTGCACGAAAAAACTGTAAATAACTTCGATCATTTGAGCAAGGCCTCGGAACTCTTCGGGGGCCACTGTACCTCCACACCGCGGTGTGGAAATTTTTTTTGGGGGGGTCCTAGTGACCAACACAAAAAAGCAGCATTAACGTGCCATCCGCTCGAGGCCAAACCATTTTTAGAGCTAAAATAAATTTAACCTCGTAGACAGGAGCAGTGGAGGAACATAGAAGGCGTGCGCATCCCTTCCTTCGGGGGCGTCGGAGGCGCTTATTGAACTTACGGAATACGTGCCTACGCCAGGGACCCGAGTTCCCACGAGGCGCAGCCACGCCGCGGGACCGAAATTGTTCATGCCGACGCTGAGCCGTGGCGGCGAAAGGGGCATAGAAACGGCCAAGCGCCTTCCAGGAGCCATTAAACCAGTGAGCAAGTAGTTTGAAGTCCCCTAAGCCGTCATGCCTGCGGCTAATTTTTCACGCGATGAGAACGCAATCATTTTGCACCACATCGCACACGACAAGAAACATGGATCACCGATGGACGATAACCACAAGCCCTCGAATACGTAAAGAAATCGCATATCCCACTGCAGGGCTCGCGCGTAGCCAGGCTCATGTTCCCGCCGGAGGTCGTTCATGGCATCCGGTCCTCTCCCGCGAGCGCTGAAGAGCTGCTTTGCCCTCCAGTCAGCCGTGCCCCCGCAACGGGCCACGCCCCTGAAAAATCCACGCGGGCGAGAAAGCGGCTTCGGCGCGTTGATGCGGAAGGGGCACCGCGAGACAGGGGAATTAATGGGGCACAAAAAACGCGAGCACCGAGTAGACGATAGCCTCCTTGAGCATACCGACGTCTAGCACATCGGACGGGTCTCCCGAAGTACGTGGCAATGTCACCCTGGGGCTGCCGTTTCACTCTGGCAATCCCGCGGAAGTGGTCGCCTTCCAAATGGTCCACCCCAAAGCGAAGCACTTCCTCCAGCCGTGACAGGCCACGGTGGTCACGCGCTAGGAATACCCTCCATCGC